GTTTATTTTCACATTTATTTATTCTAGAAAAGTAAAGAAAAAAATTGGTTCAAGAAGGCATCCAAACAGATTATTCCTAACATCTGTTGGTGACATATTTATATACAATCCAATATTTTATTTCCATAAGTTTTTAGATACAAGTTTTAAAAAGTAAACTTTAAGGCTCAGAAAGCCTATAACAAAGTAGAAATCTTATAAAGCATGTTTTTAATTTTAAGGTTCACAACTTTATGTTTAAATAAGTTCAACGTAAGTGATCTTATATGTTACATATTTTTACAAGCAAACCTTAAAGTAAGTAGATTAGAGATAGCAAGGTCACCAGAAGAAGATGCTTAAAAACCACAGAAATAAATATTCAGATACCAAGAAATACTACCCATTTATTGATTTATTTACACTAATCCCCTAGGGGCTGGGGTTGTAGCTCAGTTGCCTAGCATGCTTGATGCCTTGGGTTCAATCCCCAGCAATGCAAAACAAACAAGCAAGCAAGCAGCAACAACAGCAACAAAAACCTAATTCTCCTCACTAATGGTTGTATATCTAAGAAATGAAATCATTATGTCAAAGAGACATCTGCATTCCTATTAATTGCAGCACTATTAACAACAGCCAAGAAATAGAAACAACCTGTGAATAAGTAAAGAAAATGTGGCACATATATATCTTGGAATTCTATTCAGCTATAAAAAAATGAAATCCTGTCATTGACAGCAACATGGATCGATCATTATGTTAAGGTGATATAAGCCAGGCATAGAAAGACAAGTACCATGTGTATCACTCACATATAGAATTTGATGGAAATTGAGAGTTGATCTCACAGAAGTTGAGAATAGGATGGTGGTTCCCAGGGCTGGAGGGAGTCCAGGGATGAGAGGGATGGGAAGAGGTTGATCAATGAGTGCCTAGTAAGTTAGAAAAGAGGAGGAAGTTCTGGTGAGCTGTTGCACAGCAGGGTGGCTATAGATAACAATAATGTACTGTACATTTTAAAAAGCCAGAAGAAAGAATTTTAAGAGTTTTTCACTATAAACAATTATACATGTTTGAGAAAACCTATTTTTAACCTGATTCAGAAATATACAATGTATACATATACAGAAACATTGCATGGTACCCTCTTAATATGTACTTTTTTAATGTGTTTGTTAAAATAAGTGTATACCTGAAACAAAAAATCCAATTTCTATTATAATTTTTTGCCTTCATAGCTTCATGTATTCAATTTTATTTTTAGTTAGTGTCTGGGACATATATTTTTTCTGTTCAAATATATGCATGTAAAATTTATGAAGGAAAAATTAATTTCCTAAAATCACATTTGATGTTATTTTTCACAGGATTTTTAATGAGTTTTGAAAATTTAAAAAATATTTCTCAAAAGAAGCTTTAACAAGTAGAAAACTGGAAGTGAGAAAGAGGGAAAAGATTCACTTTCTCATTGATTCCTGGAACACAGCTCCTAAATCTTCTAATCTCTCATTTTACTAAAGTTTGCCTCACATGAAGGAAAGCCAAAGTCTGCTGAAGAAAATAAACACTCTCAGTAGGCAGTGTGGTGTTTGGAAAGTTCAAAGACATGACCACGTGGAGGGAACAAAGATTAACTTTTCCTATTTTTGCCTAGATTTCCCCTCAACTGGTTTACAGGGAATATGAGTCTTTATTGTTTTGTCTAAAAAGTGTACTAAAATACTTCAAAAATCACAAGAATAGTCACTCATAATGAGAGCATTTTTGAAGGCACCAATTCAAAAGGGAAAAGAAGCTTTTTCAAAGTGTCTTTTGAAAGTTTCACAGAAAAATGGTTTGGAATCGTAATCACTGTCAAAAATATCCAAAGATTTAAGTAGTAAATGTAGGATAATACAACAAGGACATTGAAGTTCCTGCCTTTTCCTCAACCACTTAGGAGAATTCTGGATGACCACCTTTGTTTGGAAGATCCAGACTCTGCCTTTGGACTCTATGAAATAAAATTTGGGGAGGAGAGGAAAACGTTGGGGAAAAAAAGTATTGGGGAGGCATATGGAAGGAGGTTTCAGAGGAATGTGAAAAGAGAAAATGCACGGTATGTGACTGAATTGTATGGAAAAGTGGGAAAATGGAGATCTGAAAAGATTGTGTGGACTCCTTTCATGGTTCTTAAAAATACAGAAACAAAAGAGTTATTTTGAATTGTTCCTTGGTGGCCCTGACACCTCTACAAGACCTAATCACATCACCCCACTCACTGTTTTATATAGATATGTTTGCGGCTGTCAATAAAAGGGATCAGTTGCATCCCACATTTTTCACATCAACACCAGGGTTATTTCCCTAATGAAGATGTTTACAATTTAGAGATACAAACTCTGACTAGTTAGACAGGGAAGCTAGACGTTCAAGTCCTGCAGACTTCTGAGAGTTTTAATGTGCAATTAGATTTTTTTTTTCTGTGCAGTCTTTTAAGGTAGAAAGAAAGGAATAAAAGAAAACTTCCCTAGCACAGCATGTGTTCCTTAGGAGTATAAAGCCTAATTTACACGTTAATGTACATATAGATGAATAAGTCAAAGAAAAGATGCTTTCTCTGTTAGTCAGCTTTTCTTCATTGTGACCAAACTCTCTGACAAGAACAATATAGAGGAGAAAAAGTTTATTTTGGTTCATGGTTCCAGAGATTCAGTCCACGGCTGGCCAAGTCTATATTGCCCAGGGCTGGAGGGGAAGCAGAACATTATGGTGGAAGAGTGTGGTGGAGGGGAAGCTGCTCTCTCATGGTGGCCAAGAAGCAGAGAGAAAGAGGAGAAGGAGGAAGAGGAAGAGGAAGAGGAGGGAGAGGAAGAGGAGGAGGAGGAGGGAGAGGAGGAGGGAAGGAGTGAGGAACTACAGGGAAGATGAACATTTGCAGGACATGCTCCCAGTGACCCACCTTTTCCATCCATGTCTCACCTTCCTATAGTTACCACTCATTGATTAGGTCACAGCTCTTGCAATCTAATCATTTCACCTTTGAATATGCCTGAAATAACACAGGAGCTCTTAGGGGACACCTCACATCCAAACCATAACACCATTTAGTATGAAAGATATTTTTTCTCCTTCCCAGAAGTATAATAACTTATCTTTCACAGTTGTGAAATTCTGATTTCATAGGAACTTTCAAAATCTTTGAACTCATAGTTCTTTGCTGTTCTTTAGTATATTGGCTTATTTCTATGACTGGTTCTTCAAACCAGCCTAACTAAGCTCAGAACAGTGATTCTTAGCCAATGTCTACAGACATTTTTAGTCGTCATGATTTGGAGATGGTTGGTGCTTGTAGCATTGCGTGGGAAGAAGCTCAGGATGCTGCACAACATCCTGTAGTACACAGGACAATTTCTTCTAACAAGGGATGATCCAACCTCAAAGGTCAATGGTATCAATATTGAGAAACCCTGCTTCAGAGCCTCCCCTCTGGGAATCCTTTGGTGTCTGGCTTCCCTAGTAACAGCCTCTTATCTTCCACTTGTGTTGTGCTTCAGAGCGAGTTTTTTGCCTTTGTTATAACCAATTTCCCACTCTTTCCTTCCTCCGTTAGACCAATATATATTTCCACGTGGCATCTTTGTTAATTGGCAGTTCTTGTTCATAGTTCAGCTTGGGAGAAACAGGGTGTAGTACAGGTATAATAAAGTAATTAACCATGTGGGTTGCGGGTGCAGACAGGCTGAGTTCAAACTCCAGCTCCACCATGTACTACTCATAGAATCTTGATTAAGTTTCTTATTCTCTCTGTGCTTCAGTTCTCACACTTGGGAAAAAAATGTGGATGAAAATGGTACCCAGTTGCAGATAATTCTTGTGAGAACTAAGTGAATTAATACTTGTAAAGTGCTTGGGATGTTGCCTGACATCTAAGTACTTAATAAATGTTGCTATTATTTTTCTTTCTCAACAGTCTGCCAAGATTCACATTCTCCAACTCACTTCTTCCTCTCTACTCCAAGTCTGTGGAGAAGATATATTTCAGTCACAATGGTTTCTTGTAAATGTTTTGCATGATCGATGTTTTTTTTTTTTTTTTTTTTACATTTCTTTCAAGGTCAGGGTTTTAATGTGGCAAGGCAAGAAGTGCCCTGTTTCTCTCTCTCTGGTTTTGGCTATCTGTATCCCTTCCTTGGGGCAAGGAGCAGTTACAAAGGTGGGAGTGAGCAAAGAGAAAAAGGACAATTTTTCAAAACATTATCCTGATTGATGCACAATTCTCAGTCCATAGATGAAACTTAGAGTGAATGGATGAGAGGGTGGAGGTATCATGGGCAGTGCCTAAGATTCTGGCCAGAGTGACCATGTGAATTGTGATGCCTCTCACTATAATGAGGTAACCATCGCTCTGAACTTAGGCTTGTTTGAAGAACCTTAGAGTAACCAGTTTTAGAAATAACATTTGGTCTTAAACTGATGAGTTCATCTTTTGCTCACAAGTTTGTGGAAATGGAGATACAGATGTCCAGCAGAAACATGGCAGGAGGGACTCCATGGGAATAGAGATTGGAGTTGGAGATATGGATGTAGGTATTAATGGCAGAGTCAATGAGAGGATGTAAGATTATATACAAAGGGGATTGTTGAGTCAGAAAAGTGGTTTCTAGATGGATGGATGAATGGATGGGTGGGTGGATGAATGGATGGGTGGGTGGACATAGGCTGCATATTAAGATAAATTAAGGACATAAAGACATGAGCTCTTGTTTTCAGTGGGGCTGGTGAGAATGGCTTGTATGTGGAGGGGTGCGAATACATTCATAGGTTTAGCTTTGGGAAATGCTTGAAGTCCAAAACCATAATAAAATGGAAGTGACATGTATAGCTTGATTTTTCTATTTTGATATTTTAAAACCTATATATTATGTATAAATCTATCCCCCAATCTAGGTCATTGTTCTTAAAATGGTATTTCCTTTAAATATTTGAAAACTAATTTTTATACTATTTTAATTATCTTATCTGTTCTAACTTTTCAGATCATAAGGCCTATGGATTATCTGCCCCCAAAGACCATCAAGTTGTCACAGCTATAGAGTACCAAGGTATGGTATTTACCAATTCTTACAGGCTGTAATGTTTAAATGACTCATGAGGGTAACATGTGATATTATTTTTATATTTGTTGGCATATTCTCTTTCACCCCACACTAATTCTTTTGCCTGAAATATTCCATGAATTTCCACATTTATAACACTTTCTCTACCTCCTCAGTAAAAATTCTGAATCATCAATAAAGGCCAGATGTACATAGAAGGTCTCCTATAACATAAATTATCTGTGACAAAACCTATTTTGCAAAACAGAGAGAGATCTTAAGAAAAATTTTAACCAGTTGAAGAAGGTTAATGGGAGTTAACACCCCAACTAAATATTTAAGATGACATTAATGTATTCTATTTTGAAGTGCCATTTTCTTATTTATAAATTTGGGGATTAGTATGTATTTTGTTACAGTAAAAAAATACTTAAAAAGCTAATAATTACCCCCAAGTAGTATATAGAGGCTTTTATAAGTGTACTTCAAATATCAACCATCCTTTTTTTTTGACCTTAGGACACAATGAATAATACAAAGAAACCAGAATAACTAGTCTTTCTTAAATGCAATGTTTGTTTATGTCAGAGATTGTAAACACTTAAGACACAGGTCTCAAACACCTACTCTCTTGTCTTCAGGAATGTTTTCTTCCTGAAGTTGGAGACAGTTTGAAGGAAAGGGTCAAAGATGAGAGAAGAGACCTGGAACACGAGTTAGTATTTATATGGTGCTTACAGTAGTGTCTAACACACACGTTATACGTGCTTGACAAGTAAAAAAAAATGTTATAAAAACTAGTCCATTATTCAAAAACAACAAACCACTTAGTAACAAGTCACTTAAATAATTTTTAGGCTAATTAAGTCCTTTTAATTTCAATGTTTTACATGACTAAGCTAATAAGACACCCTTTATTGTGAGTTAGTTTTAAGTAAGGAGAAGTGGAAAGAGGAAATTAATGGTTGGAAGTAACTTGGACTCTGGAGTACTTGCAGAAAGATAAATAGGTTGAGTAAGATGCCAAAAAGGAGCCTGGAATGGCCAAAAGAGGGAGCACAGTGAGAGAGGGAAAATGGAGCAGCATGTCCCTGAGGGACAAAGGAAGTGAAGTTCATTTCTGCTATTTCTCACTTTCCTGGGTCCAGCTGGACGCAGTGGCTGTACTTCCCTACCCTCAGGCCCCATGCCCTAATATCTGAATTAGGACGTCAAAGTTACAGTCTTTAATCATCATTACTTAAAAAAAAAAAAATCATTGCAGCAAAACTCACATAACAAAATCCATCCTTTTTAAAAAAAACTTTTTAGTTGTAGTTGGACATAATACCTTTGTTTTATTTATTTATTTTTATGTGGTGCTGAGGATCAAATCCAGCGCCTCGCACATGCTAGGCAAGCACTCTACTGCTGAGCCACAACCCCAGCCCCTAAAATTCATCTTTTTAAAATGAACAATTCAGAAGCCTTTGTATATTCACATTGCTGTGCAGTGCCCCCTCTACCTAGTTCCAGAACACTTCCAACACTCCAAAATGAAATCCTGTGCCCATTTACATTACTTTTTAATGCATGTTTTATTTTAATACAGAAAATCCTTCCATAATTTATTGCAATCAAATGTTAGTCTCAGGGCTGTGGGTGTAGGTGGTAGAGCACATGCTTAGCAGGGCGAGGCCCTGGGTTCAACCCCCAGCACCAAAAGCAAAAAAAAGTTACTCTCACTCCAAAATAAATATCTTCTATTTTCTTGTTTTACCTCTGCTCCTTCTAATTAAGAATTGCATTTTAATTCTATTTTATATGTGCTCTGATTATTCCAATTTGGCTCTCAATAATGCAAAAATAAATTCCTATTTTCTTTCACCTTTTATGATATTTTATGCAGTGACTTAATTTTACTTAAGATCTGTAATATTTGGTGGTTTGTATGTTTGTATATGTGTCCTACCCATTTTGTTCAGAGTTTTTCTAAACTCTTATTTTTCTAATGTCAAAAGTATGAATTAATTCTTTCTTTTAGTGTAACTACTCTGTATCACTTTCCAGGGCAATATCAAAAGCAGAAAGAACCTGAAACCAGGGCAGATCTGTCAGGCTTATAAATTATGTGAGTGGACTTCTATAGAGGGGATCCAATTCTGAAGCATGTCTTCCCAGAAGTAATTTCTGCTAATTTTTCAGAACTGCTCTAGTAGTATCAATTCTTTTTGTGCTATGTAGAATTTGATATATTTTTTTAACATGACCACAGAGAATAGACTCAAAAGGTAGCAATAAATAATCTTAGAAAAAATAAAATTCATAATGATTCTTACTCCTATAAGTAATTATTTTGCTAATTTTTTTAATAAACGTTTATCTTGGGCTGGGGTTGTGGCTCAGTGGTAGCATCCTCGCCTAGCATGCATGAGGCACTGGGTTCGAACCTCAGCACCACATAAAAATAAAGACAATAAAGTCCATCAACAATAAAAAATATTAAATAAATAAATAAAATAAACATTTATCTTTTCTTCATCTAAATGAAACAGTAGTTTTGGCAATGAAATAAGCGCCTTGATTAAGAAACTTGGCATATTTTTCTGTTTTAATATGTCTTGTATTGAAAAGTGTGATTTATGTTTACATTGTTTTCTTTGCTATCCAAAACAGAGATAACATTTTAGTTCAAATCTGAGAGATTTGTGATGATATAACATGTGGGTTTCTATCATGTCAAACTTGCAAGTACATTTAAAGAAAAGATCCCCATGTGTGAAAATAATAATGACCATTTATGTACCACATACTATATATAATACATCATGTACACCCAGTATATAACTTCATTATCTCATTTAATCTTTACAACTCTGTGAGATGAGTACTATTATTTTATTTATTTTATAGTTTTAGAACATTATTTTATAATGTTCCAAAAAAATTAAGTAAATTTCTCATTATATATCCAGTATAGGGCAAAGGTTTAATTCCAAAACCTGTGCTATAAAGTATATATGCTATAAAGTATATATGTGCTATAAAGTACTATATTTTTGTGTGACAATAACCCTAAAGCAGAATACCAAAAATTGTCCTGGCCTTGAGTGTTGACTGTTGGCTAAAGAGAAAAAGGAGATTCCATGAGAATTAGCTTTTAGATTCATTTGTATTCATATTCTAGAGTTGCCATAAGAAAATACCACAACCTAGGTGACTTAAAATAACAGAAACATATTTCCTCTAGGTTCTAGAGGCTAGAAATTCAAAATCAAGGTATTGGCATGGCACCCTAGGGTATAGGCCCTGGCTATTCCCTGGGCCTACCACAATACATATTCTGTCCATCTTCTATACCATTGATCAGATGTCACCTTGTAAAAGAGGTAAACTTGACTACTCTTTTAAAAAACTGCATCCTTGTCCTTGGCACTCCCAAACTTCCCCAACTCTGCTGTACTCTCTTTTCCCTACAGCACCTCATCACCATCCAACATGCAATAGAATTCACTTGTATAATGTTGCTTTTTTCTGCCTGACTTCTTCTGCTAGATTGTAAGATCCCAAAGGACAGGGAATCATTGCTCTGTTCACTGATAGAACTCAAAAAGCAATGCTGAGCACATAGTAAGCACTCAACATATTTTGGGCAAATTGCATAGACCTGTTCTCTACGTTTTATACAGTCCATGAGAGAGAGGCTGGAATGAAGTCACTGGACTTAGGAAAATCATTGGTGACATTTTCCAACATAATTTCCTTAGAGGTTTTCTCACAGAGCACTGAGAACATAGAAGGATATGAATTAGGAAGAATTCATCAAAATGCATGTTTTTGTTTTGTTTTTGTGTGTGCGTGTATGTATGTATGTTTGTATTTTAATTAAATATAGGAAACAACATGATTGAGTACAACATGATTCCTAAGACATGGGAATAAGACAGTAGAATAGACAAAAAAAAAAAAAAAAAGAGTGTGGGTGTGTGTTTAATTGTTGGAAAACTCAACAAAATACGGGAAGGAAACCTATCTAAAACTTAAGACTCCGGAAGGTCACCGCCCAGTCTCCTTAATCAACAGAGCAAGAGCTGTGTTTCCTCTGACAGGTCCCTCAGCACACGTTTTGTCTTTGTAGCACAGTTGTAAACACCTCTATAAAATCACATCTCTTTGTGATGTAAAACGTGTTTTAGAAACTTTAGGCATCCTTGAAAACAACTTTTGGTTCTTTTCTTCCTTGTCTTTCTTTTCTCTACCCTATTTTCTATTTCCTTCTATTTTACTTCTATATTTCTGGCAATGAATATAACTTTAAAAAAATGGAAACTACATATAACAGAAAGAAAAAAAATCATCATTATATGACACAGAAATCACTACTGGGTTATAATTTATATATATATATGCTTATAGGCTTTTTGTCCATATCTATGTGTATATTTTGAATAAAACTTGAGTTAATATCTTTAATGACATTAGATTTGTTTAGCATCAAACTCTGAGACACAGAAAGGATTTTAATCTTTTTTCTTCTAATCAGAGATACTGTGTTTTTAATTTGTCTTGTGGGAGAAAAAACTCCCAGAAATATGAAGTTGGAATTCTAGAAGCTTGGTTGGAACATGCTTGAAAGATGTAACTGGAGGTTTCTTTTTGGCAAGCTGAAACAGTGTGCAGACCAGCACTGGGTTTCCCTGCCCTCAATCATCTCGTTTGGACAGTCAAAGGAGTTGGCTCCTTCAGAAGTTCCAGGAATTGCTTAAAGATGCAACTGCAGTAAATTTCCTGTAATGAAGTCAATTTAACAACACTGGAGTAGTTACACTTGATGCCAAGATCAAGTCTTTTAATAGTTTATCTGAATTGAGGCAGGGTTACAGGCAGCCATTTAGGGGAAAGAATAAACAATTTATTAGAGGGCCATTTGGGTTCATATTAATGTAATTTGTAAGGCATATCCACACAAGGGATCTGATTGAGACTGTGGCTGTAACAGTGGTCCACTTTATGCTTTGAATAAGAGCCCTTGCTGCTTGTCCCTGTGACTTATTTTTAAAATGGACATGTTTCTTCCTCTAGGATAGGAATCCCCTGTGTTTCTCCTTTGCTAGAAAAGCAATATAACTTGGTTTTCCTTTTTCTCAAAACTGCGTCCTCATTGTTGGATTGGCATCAGGGACAAGGTCCTAGATTTCAGTAACAGCCAGTTGGGAGGAATTTCTTTGCGTTTCCCCAACGCAGCCTGGGCTGGACTAAGTGCCTTTCTTAGGCACTAGATGGCGGCGTGCTCTTTCCAAACCCCAAATCTGATACTCATCCCCTTTGGACTGAAATGCCTTTACCTTGTTTGCCTCTTCTACCAGACTGTAGACTCCTCAAAGACTGAAACTGGGGATAAGTTGATGAATAATTAATCAGAGCTGCTGTTTGTTAAGTGCTTACTATGTTTGGGTCTGTGTGCTTTGCATATATTATTTCACTTGAAAATTCACGACTCTATAAGGTACTGTCTCATTTTACTGATGGAAACTCAGGCTTAATAACTAGGAAAAGCAGAATAGTGTCAAACAGTTTTGTGAAAGAGTTGTAATGCTTCCAATTCATCTTTGAGCTAAACCAATAGAATACCCATTATTAATGTACTTTTAAGTAACTTATTTATGTAACTTATTAATGGGTATCCTATTAGTTTAGCTCAAAAAAAAAGAAAGAATAAATAGAATGTAAAGTCACAATTTAAGAATGCTTAAAAACTGTTAATTAAGTAAAACATAAATTCGCAGGGATAATTAGAAAACCAATGTTTTTGTTGTTGGTCCTAGAGGTTATTTTAGCCTGCAAAACCCCAAAGAAGACCATTTCTTCCAGATTAGAGTGGAAGAAACTGGGGCGGAGTGTCTCCTTTGTCTACTATCAACAGGCTCTCCAAGGTAAGAGGCTGTGGTCTTGATGAGGTCAGAGCAAGAGAATGCCAAGTACAGCCCAAATCCTTTAAATTACAAATGAGAACAGGACATGACTGATTACTGAAAATGTGTTTTTGTAAGTGTGAAATGAAACCAACAGTGTCTGAGATCCAAAACACAACAGCTATAAAGGACAGGAAGAGAATTTCAGTGAAGGTGAATTCCAAGGGGTTCCTGGACCCTCCATCTCTCAGCTCACTCCTAGAGGATACAGAATGCAATTGTTCTTCCTGGCCCAGTAGATTGAAAAGGAAAGAAAAAGTAGTATGGCCCTGAGATGGAGGGATCACTGCTCAGTTAATAATACCCTCACCTTTCCTGAGTTCCTCTGGAAAGCAAGGCCAGAACTGAGAATAGGGAGTTTGGACGATGGATGGGTAATTACAACCATTAGCAAGTGCTTTTATTTGTTTTACATTTAGTTCTACTCTGTTCTCCTATTGAATATGTGATGTACTTTTAACTAAAAATGGGATAATAATGCATGAAATGCTATGATGTTAATTTGCTTCAAAAGTATCTAGTGGTAGGCTGGGATATTGCTCAGTTGGTAGAGTGCTTGCCTCGCATGCATAAGGCCCTGGTTCGATCCCCAGCACCAAAAGGAAAAAAAAAAAAAAAGTACCCAGTGGTTAAGGGAAATATGAATTAAGATAGGCCATGCATCCATTACAGTTAAAGCTGAGGCATGAGTACACGGAGGGTCAATTTCCTCTATTCTGTACTTTTGCATATATATATATGTATTACTTTCATTTTAAAGAATTAAGTGGAGGGCTGGGGTTCAGCTCAGTGGTAGAGCACTTGAAAAGCATTAGTAAGGTCCTAGGTTTGTTCCCCCAACTCTGAGTTGGGGCTGGGGAAGAAAGGTAAAAAGAAAGGAAGAAAAAAAAAAGAAGCAGCAGCAAGTGCGCGCACACGC